CCCCCCCCCCCCCCCCCGTAAATAGGATTTAAGTTAGCATTCACTTAACTATTAAAGCCATTTATGTCAATCCCATTGGCTCAATGGACCTACTCTTATCAGGGACTATCAAGAGGGTTTCAGGCCATTATTTATAAAGTATTCAGTGGCATAAAGAACAAGGTTTCTTGTTGTTCAGCACTTGAAGAGCTAACAAGTTTTCTTATGCCCTGGACTACATGTAAAACCACAAGGCACTTTGTTCTTTTCTTCACAAGCAGGGTGTTTATTAACACCAAGAAAGAAGATCCCTGCCCACAGGTACAGTCTAAAATGCCATCAAGGAGATGCAAGTTAAATAAGAGAAATAGTTGTTTTGCATACTATACTTTATCCTGCTGTTCCCTCAAAGAGCTCAGGATAGTCTATTATTTCCTTCCCACTACCCAAGACTCATTTTTGGATCATAACAAGCAGTAATGGTTTTTTTTAAGTACAAAGTTCACAGATTTAAGCTCAAATCCAGTTGTTAATTACAGCTATAGAACATTCCCTAGCTGAATGGTTAAGTCAACACATATGTAAATGTCATTCGTTCAGAATTCATGTGGGAGAAAGGACTTGTAATAAAGTTGTGCTTTTATCTTTATTATTTTTAAAGATTCACCGTGTCTATATCTTTATTATTTTAAAACTGTTTTAACTCAAAAGGCAAAGGCGCCTCTTCTGCTCCTAATTTAAATCTCCAAAATGCCTATTCTAATTTTACATGGCTCCATCCCTTCTAATAACTAATTAGACAACTAGAGCAGTATCAACACATTTTTATTTACTCATGACTTTTTTCTTTTCAAATAGCTCAAGCCAGCATAGCATTTCTATCCCTTTTTGTTTTCACAACAACCCTTGGAAGTAGTCTTGGATGAATAAGTGCAAGCCTCAAGGTTATCTACCAGGATTCATGGTCAAGCAGGAACTCCAGCTAAAATCTGACTGGTCTAAGACCAGCAGAAAACAGACCCC